CTCAGTTTTTCTTTAAAAAAAATTGAGATTATTACCCGTACGCGCGCCAATGATGAACATAAAATTCTTAATTGCGTGTCAAAAAATGCGCAATAACTACCTCTTAAAACCCACCAAATTTCATTTGCACATCTCGACCGGTTTCAGAGCAATAAATTAAATCGTCAGTTTTTAAGAAAAACTTTGACACCCCGTATCTCGGAAAACGAATCATTTGTGGACATACGTTTATAAGCAAACTGCCATTATTTTCTCATGTAGAATCACCCCCTGAAATTTGTCGCACTTATTTACTAACACCCTGTATAACAATTTCCCTGGCATTCCCAAAAAGTACTTGAATCCATTGACTGAAGGAGAATTTAGGAACATTCTTGATATTAAACTCAAACATTTCTCAAAAATTTAAATAAAAAGAGTCGTCATGTAATTAACATTATAATCTATTTTTATATGATCGATGTTTTTTTTTACTTGTTTTTAATAACCTATTTAATTGCTAACAATGGAACAACGACATCACTCAGTTTGTTTGTCGAAGTTGAAGACATGATTAACTGTCATATTTCTCTAATTAATTCTAAATGCCTCAATATATTAATTAAATAATTAAAAAATTATGTCATAAAATGTCAGTGGGAAAGCGACCTTTATTTAGTATCTTAAAAAACTTACCAAATCTTAATGAAAAGTAAAGTTAAAATTAGATTTAAATAAATCATCCTTGACGCTCTGTATCTCCAAAACAGAAGATGATAGATCTATGGTCCATCGAAAAAAATGTTACTTTTTCATGTTCTACTTAAACCAAGCAATCTAGATATTTTTCTATTTTTGAAATCTGCTTAAATTTTTTTATAAATTTTTTTTCAAAGATATCACAAATTATCACAAATTTTGTATACAGTTTTATTATCCATTTCAGTTTGGCATGTATTTCTTCGACAATATTTCAGATAATCCGTGGCACACTTAACTATATGAAGAAACAATTGAAATACAAAAAAGGAATTGAAATATTTTTTGCATAAATATGTAATATATTCAAAGGGAAATTTTTCACAGATGTTCAAAATACGTAGCGTTTTAGGCTTAAAAAAATATCAGTTTCAAGAATCGGAAATTATAAAAAAAATTCATAGACGTCACTGGATTCTAGGATATAAAATGCTGAATAAAAAATCCCCTTTACGAAAATATAAAATTTTACAAGAAAAAGTTACTCGTTATTACAGAAAAAATTATAATAATAAAAAGTATCTAAAAATGAAAAACATCTTGCATTTCTTAAATAATGAATCAAGAGATCGAGATTATTTCGGCCATTCAATTTTTCTCGAAAATCAGACCCGTTGTGTGATAGATACCCCAAAAGTGAATTTGGCTCATCCTGCCATAGTATTAGTCCAGTCGCCCTAGCCAAAATTGTATTTAAGGATGGCATTAATTCCGAAGTGCACAATTTTTTTCATGCGGCTAATTTTTTGCTAGTAGATGAGGAAAAAAATTGTTCTGTACGGGAGCGAACCGGAAAAATTCGGAAAATGGTCGGGAAACTGCAAAAAAAGTATTTCGTAAAAAAACTGTTAGGAATTTCACAATCATGCAAAGGATCAAAGCTGTACAGCATAAAATTCTCTACATTGAATTATGTCCCATAATTTTAATTTTTTGTTCAGAAAATTTGGGATGAAGGTGAAATAATATAAAGAGACACGAGAGTAGAAAATTGAGGATTTATTCCAACTGGAATGTTTTTTTAAATATAATTCACAAAATATACACTAGATCCATCGAGTTATCGATGATAACTCATCTTGATCGCTATAAGGTGACTCTGTATCCAAAATCTCGTCACTACATTCGTTTTTTGCTTCATCCCCAACACAAAGATGTTTCTCATTAAACATATCTATAACAGGATTAATTTCTTTTGTTCTACAGACGACATGATTGCTAGAGACCGTTATGTCGATGCAAGCAGACACGCAGACGAGCGCTGCACGCATACGACAACATTAGAAAAAATCGCGAATATTTTCAAAATTCCATTCGAACCTCTACATACGACGCAAGAGACCTCGTCGAGATAAAGCATATCAGGTGGCCTTACTTCATCGGATGATGACAACGACCTGTGTCAAAGCTTTCTCTGAGATCTTCATCGAGGGACGAGGAAAACGAAAATTTCGACACACTTTCGAAATGTTCATGAATTGGATTGACTTTAAATTCAACCTCCTACAAGACCTCTGGGTGACTCTGTCAATTTTCAGACTCCAAACTTCAACCAAACAGTCAGTCCAGCCGGCAGTGCAAACGTCGCCGTCCGAAATAAAGAACATGCACCCGTGTCATTTGCACTTATTTAACCTGTTCTATCAAACAAGTATATAAATAAATCACAAATTTAAATCTCAATCTGAGTTATCATTTCTTTACACAAAAATCCATAAAACCGAACTCAGCGCTCTTAGCTATACACTGCAAATCAACCTTTATACAAGCTTTCGTACAGGCACTCCACGGAGTCCGTACATGAGTGCATAAACTTTAGTGAATAAAAGACAGTGATTTTTAGACACTAGGGTATCAGACCCGCAAAGTGAACAAAAAAAAAAACCCGAACCATAAACATTAGCAACTGGACTTTACTTTTAATTTAAGATAATGTTTGACATACTACTACAACCAAACAACTAGTTCAGCGAATAGTTTAACAAATACCATACATAAACCATGAGAATATAGAATACCTACGAATTAAATTGTAATTGTAGCATTAACTACTATAATTGTGATCTGTTCTTTTATTATATTTACCTATGTTCAGTGTTAGAATCACTTTTTATTATAATAAATTAATTACTTCCCGATTTCAAGGTCTACAAGTCATTAGTGACTAAAAAATATATTTTTGCTGATAAATGAGAACATTGAAATCAATTTAACTATATTTAATTACAAAAAAGATATAATAAAGTAAGTACATAATGCATTCATAGCACTTGATTACAAAAAAGCAATTAATATGTGCAGACGAAAATACTTGGTGTATTTATATAATTTTAATCATAAAAATGTAAATTTCTAGAATGTATAACATGTGTAATTTTTCTCAGTAGAAAACTTTGTATAAGTATTACAAAAAAAAACATTAAACAATAATCAATGCTTTTATTTACAAATCAATAAAAATCTTTCAGAGTATCAATAATATCTTTTAATACCTCTCGACGTCTAAAAGCAATTATTCCTGTAACATTGCAATTATTCCCACCGTTGAAGTACTTAATACTTAGCTCATTATTTCGAAGAGTTTCGTGGAAATCAGTCATGCCACCTCCTAAGGAATTTAAGATCGCGTGTGGAGCACAGGTGTCCCACTTAAAAGTTGTTCCTTTTGTTAATACGTAAGCATCAGCTAATCCTGAAAAAAAAGTACAATTTATTACAGTATTGTATTAACGAAACAGTTAAAATATTATTCTTTATGAAGTACTAACATCAATATTGTTGTCCATGTCTAGATTTCTTTATCTTGACATTACAATGATAACTTTTTAACAGAACTGCCCTTTCTAAATACATAGTTACATTAGATATGAAGGACTAGCTTTTAAAATGATACTGTTTGCCGGATAGTTCCCATTTTTGAAACCCATCGATGTTTGGATAATGTAGGTTTTCACCTGCGATCTGGTCTTCTCTCTTTATAAATTAGGTGCCGATAATCGTCAACAGTTAAATAAGTAAACATCCATAAAATCTGCATATACGTACCTACATTTCCAAATATATATAAGGACTCTTGTAAAAGTCAAACAAGTTTTAACTCTGCTTAGGAAGAAACTAATTTGTGCTATTATTTAACTACCAAGAAACCATAAATGCATAGAAAATTTTAAAATGTCTTATATATTTCTCAATAATGAACGTATAAAACGTGCTGATTCATTTGAATATGGAAGAAGTAATATAGATGGATTTAAGGAACGTTCGTGCAAACAGAAGTACAATAACATTATTACAATTACTGGTAAGTTGTAACAAAAACAAAATTTTAAGGATAATAATATTCTAATTTCAGAAAGCAATGTGCATTTGATTCTAGAACACGATGATTCTATTGTAATGGCTTATTTTAGAAGTGGAACTCGAGATGAAGAAGGGTCATGGGCATATTTTTTGCAATCTTGGTATGACAAGATTTTCAGTCGTAAGCATTGCCTATGATATGTTTTTAAACTGAAAATGTGCTACTATCAAAAGATTTGAAACCCAACACTGCGTTTGTAAAGGAAAATCTACAGGCAGTTTGAAATGGGCCTCTAAAATATATTAACTTTGAAATTTTTATGTGAAATCGTAATTGAATTGTAGTTATATACTAAAATTTTAATTTTTAAGAGTTTCAATTACATAACCCATACAATTTAAAAAAAAAACTGTATTTACAGCCATATAAAATAACTGTTGTGCAGAAATTACTTGTCATAGACTATGAAATACGGTTTCAGTATTGTGAGTAGTTTCTAGAGAAATGAATATTTTATTGGACTTGTTGTTTTTCACTAATGAAGCATGATTTCACATATTAGGTTATGGAAATAGCCAAAATTATAGAATGTGGGCTACAGAAAATCCTCATACATTTTTGTAGAAACCAGTTTATGACTAAAAGTAGGCATTTGGATAGCGATATCAAGAAGACGTATAATGGTTCTATATTCTTCTGTGAAACTATAAATGCTGAAAGATATAGAACCTCTATTTTAGAGTAATTTTTATCACAATTACATGATGATGAAATGCAAGTAGGTTATTTTCAACAAAATGGGGCAACCGCACATACTGAAAGAGCAACAATTTAATTTTTAGAAGAATTGTATGATAATCGACTGATTAGTCAAGGGTTGGTGCCAACCAGGTTACCAGATCTAACTTATTTAGATTATCTTTTGTTTGGACATCTGAAGAATTAGAATCAACAATTATTCGAGAAATTAACAATATAACAGAACAATAACTGCAAAATGCGTATGAAAAGATACATTGGAGGGTAAATTTATTCACAATTAGTGAAGGACATTATTTTGAACATACTATGTAATGTTTTTGTCAGGAATATGGCAAAATAGCTTCCTAATTTATGAGTTTGAATTCATTTTATATTGCAGCGAAGCAATGTTATTACAGCAATGATTTGTAAATTAAAATTAATCATACAGTAAACTGTAACTTTTTTATAAAGCTATTTTATCTATAAGAAAAAATAAACTGTCTGTTTATGTTACTCTTTAATAAAATAAAAAATAATAATAAATTATTATAAGTTCACATTGTGTTCTTTTTTTATTTTCATTTGTTAGTTAAAAATGTGTTTACTTTTGTCCTTTTAATAAAATTAAAAACATTTCAAGAAAAAGCAAAAGTATTTTTCCTAAGAATCAAATATTAAATTATATATTCACATTAATCACGTTAATCAATTTCAAAAATAATTTTATGTAATTACATCGTAGCCCCTTCAACCACTTCAAGTTTAGGAATTTTTAGTTGCCAATCGTGCAATGTTGGTTGTCTATGATCATGTGACTTGGTAACCATTTATAAAGGCTCTGTATGTTCCTTTCTCTATGTTTCTGTAATTAGATCTTTTGTGAGTTTTTCGAGTGTTTCCTTGGATTTGTTACTCTATAATTTTATTTTATACCATAAATTGAAAAAAATTATTCCTACCTACCGTCTAAGTCAACCAAATCGGCCAGTTCCCCATAGACATACTTTCTTAGGAGTAGAAAGAAAATTTCAAGAAACTGAAAATATAGCCCCATTTTGAGGAGCAAATGATGTAATGACAGAAATTAGCATGATAACCGCCTTATTTTGGTTAATAAACAGTTATAGTTTTAATTTAAAAATCTGCGAAAGGTAAACATTTTAAAATAAACTAGGCCAACTGACACGTATTTTTAAATACTCAATTTTCTCGAAACAAAAAAGTTGAAAAGAAACAATGTTGTGTCAACTCTCTCCAAAGGGCCGAACTTTTCGAAAAATGATTGAAAAGTTGCACCTGCGTATTGGTGTAAAATTTGATATTTGTACCAGTTTTGATTTTCGAATTCTGCTCATTGAAAAGCTACTTTCCCATATTTTTTTTTGAAACCAAGGAAATGTACTGTTAAGAGGTGAAAATTTTACTAAGGTTATTTTTATGCTAAACTTGCTCTTATTATACTTTTGCAAAACAAATGATGATCCCTTCTCATTCTATCAATTAATTACTTTCGAATAGTAGTTACTTTATGGGAGTTAGGATACAAAAAACAAAACTGATGACTTGGCGGAGAATCTACTGAAGATAATGAAACTGGGAACCAATAACGATATAGACTATGTTCCTTGCATCAAACAATCGAACTACTGCGTAACGTCGTTTTTGGAGTTATAGGGTTATGGGGTTATAGGGTTATGGGGTTAGCGGGTTGGGGGACTATAGGGTTAAATATATTCTGTTTATAGTGCCTAGACATATCCGGCGATGAGAGGTCAAGTCAAACTACTGAGTAACGTGGTTATTGGAGTTATGAGGTTTGAGGTTGAATGTATATGATTGTGGGGTTATTGTGGGTGCACAGCTTCCTTTATAGGACCATTGTGTGTAATAGGACTTGACAGCTTGGGTTATGAGGTGATATGAAATTGTCGATAAAACCTGACGTGATGGGATTAAATGCATCACGGATTCGGATTCAGCGACCCCGAAAACATGTAGTAGACATAGTCTGACCTTCAGACCCGAAAGACATTTTTTGTGTGTGGCTGTGTAATTTTAAATATAGGTGTAACTTATATACTTATTTCTTAGAAGATGATTCCGTAAATCATTTTAAAATGCAAAGTTTGTAAGAACCTGTCCTAAACTTAGAAACAGTGTTAAAATTTTTGAAAAGTATAAAATATGTGCAAATATTCCTGACGATATCTGACGTAAATTGATGAAACTTGGATTAATTTATTTAACTAAGAAAAGTGAAAATTCACTGAATTTATATGTAACTATTCGATCGCGAAAATTTCAAGTATTCCGGAAGTTATATTCTTAATATTAAAAAAAAAACTTCCATTTTATTCGTAGTAAGTACTAGTTATTTTTGAGTTATTATTTTTGTTTAGTTTAAAATAAGCTCACCCCAGTCAATTATGTTATTCAAATAAATCAACTGTAACTATAGAGCTATTCGTTTTCTTTGCTAAAAATATAGTGTATTTTCTCAAAGAGGCCATATTTGAACCATATATTTACAAAGTGATTTTGAATAGCTTTACAAGTATAAAAATGCGAAAGTAAATTGCAATAAAAAGAGATCTATGGATCACTATGTAAAAAAAGAAAAAGAGAAAGAAAGAATAAATATTTTGGAGGCAAATGATTACTTGTATATTTTACCTAATATTACTGTTAGAATCTTATATCCAGCTCCACATGCCTCAATCAGCTTGAATCCTTTCTCTTCAAGTTTTTGCTTAATTTCAGTTCTTTCGCTACAGCTCACACATATAATACTTTTTTCTTCACTACAGCTGATACCGCTATTTATATAAGTATTTTGTGAAGATATTCCCCATATATATGGTAAAGTTGGCCTGAAAGATGATTTATACATTTTATATAGTACACAGATGAAACCATAAAAATTGAGTAGCTGAGTAAGCATTGGTAAAATAGCCCCTAAAGCTATTGGATCAAATTCGATATTAGTAGATATGTATCACTGGGGATGGAATATTTCCCGAGTTTTAGCCTCCTTTTGTTATTGAAAACCCCAACACCCTGAACAATGAACTTTTTAAATTTTATTTTTCATCTCCAACTACATGCATCAATATTTGTAAAAGAAACGTAAGTGTAAATGGTGATGGATTAATTTTTGAATCACTTTAAATACATTTCTCTTAATATTGAATGTTAAAAAAATATGTACAGAATAATACATTTATTTGCCTCTGAAACTAACAATGAAGGATCTTACTTAAAATTTTTTGCAATGGTGCACCATAGTAAAAAGATTAATAACGATTACATAACTCATACATAACATTTTTACAATATCTGTACGTATGAATAACATAAAATGCCTACACTGTATTTTCAATGTGTACGTACTTGTTTCTTCTTGTATCTTCCATAAATGTACAAGGTGATTCATGGAAAAAGAAAATTACTCAAACTTTTAAAAAATAAGCGAAACAATTGATTTCTTCAGTCGTCTTGAATTTTGCAATTGTTTTTAAAATCAAAGTGCAGCGGATCCTAAAACTTCATCTAAGACGAAAGAGTGTTTATTTTTGCTGTACTATTATTTTAAATAGGTAGGTACCATAAGCAATAAGTTACAAAATAAGATATACGTACTACAAAACTGAATAATTAATTGATAAAAGCTAGGTTAATGACCGAATATTACTGGAGGTCGATTCATTCTGGATAAACCTTTGTGCATCCGGCCGGAACAGTCCGAAAAAGGGTTTAAATAATGATTTGAAATTTTTTTTTTTAGCGTAAATATTTTCAATTTTTTTTATTCACGTATTCGTATTCTACTCATTTTTCCATATCATCCCTTGAAATTAATGACATTATGACTGTCGTGTCTCACCGTTGGAACACTACCCGTAGTTCCCGGCCTAGACGGTTCGTAAAATAGGGAATAATAACAATAAAACTTCAATATCACTTTTATTCTCCAGTGACAAACTTCGGTACACATATACAATACATAAAACAATATTGGTAACTATTTTTCAATAAAAACAAAATATCAACTATCCTTTTTTTTACAGACAAAATCGCACACTATTAATTAACAATGACATTTCTTTATTTTTGACAACAATATTTTTATATTTGACGTGAAGGTTAACACATAGATGCGACATTCTCCCACCTGAGAAACGGTTAATGCTAAGAAACGTTTCTCACAAATAAAAAGTAGCAAACATAACAAGTTTATCTTAGTCTAAATACCGACTAGGCAATTTTACCAACCGACCACATCGGGTGAAACTCACTTTTTGATCGGGTACTCTGCTTTTAGACACTCCGCACTAAAATCACTCTCCTCTTCTTGGCGTATGCTGGATCGTCGCCCTGGTGATTCCTCGCACTGCGTCTCTCCTGGCTCCGGAACCCTATCTCCTACTTCATCCTCATCCACTTCTGTGACCTTGTCTTCGTACTCCAGAGGAAACAATTGCTGCACAGGTCTCAATAGTTCACCGTTCACCCCGTGCAGTTTTAACTCGAACCAATCGAGTATGTCCGTCTTGACCTGGAATAAGTTCTATGATACGCCCTAGGGGCCATTCGACACGCTTAATGTTGTTGTTTTCGATTAAGACAACGTCCCCTAATTTAATTTGCCTGTTAGGTTTTGCCTTGATCCAAAATTTCAATTGGCCAAGATATTCCAACCTAAATCGTCGTTTCAAGTCTTCTCTTAATTTTTGTTTGTTCCGCGCACTCCGAGTTAACGAGTTCTTGTCTATTTCGTCACAATCGGGCATGCTAGATTCAGCTTGTTCTCGTAAAAACATGGCTGGTGTAAACGCTACCAAATCATTGGGATCATTAGTTATGTGGGTCAACGGTTTGGAGTTTACGATCGCTTCACACTCACAGATCAACGTAAGTAGTTCCTCATAGTAAAGGCAAGCACGTCCTAGAACCCGACGAAGCAATTGCTTTACTATACCTATCATTCTTTCGAAAAAGTCCTCCCCACCAAGGCGCATTAGGGGGGTTAAAACGCCAAACGATTCGTTGTATGGACGTTTCCCGAGTAATGTCTATCCAATTGAGATTTGCAAACGCATTCTCGGCTCCCTTAAAGTTTGTTCCATTATCACTATAAATTATCCCTGGCCTACCACGGCGCGCGACAAATCGCCGAAGAACTTGTAGAAAGCCAGTAGTAGACAATGATAGAGTCAATTCCAAATAAACGGCTCGATATACCGCACAAGTGAATAAACAGATCCATGCTTTTTCACCTGATTTCAGGCAAAGTGGCCCGGCAAAATCCACTCCAACTATTTGAAAACCCATACTATTTCGTACTCTGTCTGCCGGTAATGGAGGTGGCTCGACAACAAATGACTTCGACTGAAATCTTCGACAAGTTGTACATCTTCGAAAATTGTTCTGATAGTACGTCTACCTCCCAATATCCAAAATTTCTAACGCAATTGCGAGAGAAAAGCTTGCAGTCCCATGTGACATGATCTCCTATGCATGTCCATGATTAAACATCCTACAGAAAAATGTTTTGCGGGTAAAATGATGGGAAATCTGTAGTTATTGGTATCTTCTCTGTATGACACTCTAGACTTTAGTCGAATTATACCCGCTTCATCGTAAAAAGGGTTTAAACAATTAATTCTTTGATCGGTAAGATCAGAAAAACTTTATTTCTAAATTAATTTAAAGACAAAATTTGATCTATTTTGATATAGCCAACTTGGTCCCTCCCACCATTTCGAGTCCAAAAGTTGTTTAGCCGTGCAACCTCGAGATGGAAGATCTGCTGGATTGTATATTCCGGGAACATGGTACCACTGACGTGCATATGTTAACTGACGAATTTCAGTCACTCGATTCCATACGAATGTTCCCCATTCTTCATTGCGCTGTATCCACGCAATTACAGTTGACGAATCAGTCCAAAAAAAAACTGTCAAATTTGACATTAAGTGTGTCCATTACATATTTGTACAGCCTGGCCGCTATCGTTGCTCCCATTAATTCCAGACGCGGGATTGTCAATCTTTTCAACGGCGCTACTCTTGACTTTGCAGCTAGCAAATGTACGGACACGACATCGTGTTTTACTACTCTGCAAAATATCACTGCAGCATATGCTTTTTGACTTGCATCACAGAAAGTATGCATGCTTAAATCTTGTACATTCTTAGTGTCTATAGAGATCCATCGCGGAATTTCTATTTTTATAAGATGTGATAAATCAGCAATCCAATTCTGAAAAACAATTTTGATCTCATCATCAACATGTGTATCCCAAGAAATCTGCCTTTCCCATAAACTTTGTAACAGTAACTTTGGCATTAAAGTAACAGGCGCCGTAAAACCTATAGGGTCAAAGACTTTTTGTGTCATGGATAGTATCGTTCTCTTCGTGACTGCTTCATTGGAAGTTTTCAAAAAATCTTCACAGATTGTGAACACGTCTCGCTTCGTAAACCATCTTAGTCCGAGAACAGATACACTATAATTATCAGCATCTGAATTTCCATAAAACTCCCACCCTCTTAGGTCGAACTGTCCTTCTGCCATTATTGAAATTGATTCTCGAATAAATTTATTTAAATCATGTTCATTAGGTACACTGGCAATACCAATACAATTGTCACCATAGAAACTCTTGGATAATTTTTCGACGGTTTCACGAGAATATCCAGGATCCATATTTTCACACTTATCCTTACATCTTATCAAATGATGCTCAATCGTAGCACCTAATAGAAAAGGACTGCAATTGACTCCGAATACCACTCGTCGATGTCTGAAAACAATTTCTTGGCCTTCTTCATTAATCCAAAGAAATCTTAAATAATCCCGATCTTTTTGGTGTATACTAATCTGTAGGAATGCCTTTTTAATGTCTGATATAACTCCAATCTGGAACATACGAAATCTCAATAACAATGTAGGTATCAATTCAATTAAATTCAGTCCTTTCTCCAGACACTGATTTAATGAGGGACTGCCTGCTTCTTGAGCTGAGGCAAATACAGGTCTGATTGCAGTCGTAGAACCTTCCTTAAGAACTGGTCTATGTGGCAAAAAATGACCATAATTGATGTCCTCTTTCACTTGTTCAATTATTTTTAGAGATTCCCATTCGCGAAAAACTTCATTGTATGGCATAATCAAATTGTCCTTTTCTAGTTTGCGCACCGTTGTCGCTAGTCGTTTCTTCGCGATACTGTAATTTGATGGCAATGTAGGATGTCCATCCAACCATGGTAATCTGACCTGATATCTTCCTTCGATATTCACAGTAACCGTTTGCAAAAACAAATCTTTTGCTGCAGCCGCCATTTCCTCCTTGGATTTCTTTTCTGTGGGTTCTTGAATCCCCAATACATCTAACTGCCATAGTTCTGTAATTGAAGGATTTACTAACAGAGACAGAACCACCATTGTGCTACTAGCTTCAACCTTGTCCCCAACAACTTTGCCCATTACAGTCCATCCAAGGCTGGTTTCGATTGCAGTAAGTCCACATGCTAATTTATGACGTCTCCCTGTATATAATAAACCTGCAACATCTGCACCTAATAAAATCTCAATAGGGCCATGATCTTTTGAATCCGAAACATCAACTCCTAGGTCCTTTAATTCTTCCATCCACGGACCGTAAAAAATAGGAGAAACCTCGTTACATATATATGGCTGATCTAAAACTTCGATAGTGTTTACGTACTTTCCATTGATTATAGTAACATCGTAACTATAGTGATTAATGGTAGATCTCTCACCTCCAAAAAGACAGTGTACTATTTTCTCGGCTCGTTTTGATTTTAATCCCAGTGTCAACACAGTATCTTTCAAAATATATGATCGCTGTGAGCCGCTGTCTATTAAGGCCCTCACGTTCTTTGTAGCGGTTGTCCCTCTTAAGGTAATTCGTAATGTTTGTAGAAAAACATGCGTGCTTGTCTGATTTGACAGTACTTTATCTTCTACAACGTGGTCTTTCTTTTTCGATCGCGAATCGTCAGACTGTTGTTTGATATTGTTTAAATTTGGACACATCAGTGGCACATGTGTTTGCCCGCAAAGAATGCATTTCAAGCGAGTGCGATATTTCCTGGATTGGTGGCCGACCTTAAGACACTTAAAACATGCCTTCTTTTCATTTAAAATATCCTTCACTTCTTCAGGAGTCATTGTTTGAGCCTTGAAACATGCTTCACTTTTATGGTACCCTGCACAAAAAATACATTTGGCAACATCAGTATTTATCAGCCCCGCCGCTGTTACAGTTGAAGGTGATGAAATAATTCTTGCAGTAGATTTTTTCTCTGGTCATTACCAGCATTTACTTTATCTTCAAAACCAAAACCCTCACTCACCAGGCAAATTTTTTGTTCATTTTCTGCTTCAGCCCGTAAAAAGTTCATGAACACTGCCAGATTCTTAAAAGATCCTGAGGTAGACATGACTCGATTAGAGGAAACAACATTGCTGCGTACTTATCAGAGGTTATTCCTACTGTGTCAAGAGCCCTTAACTGTGTTTCAATTTGGTCATAAAGCTTAGAAATATCAACCTTTTGAGGTTGTATTACTCAAAATTAATTTTAATAACTCCCTGACATGTACCTCAATTTGCAGATCCTCTCTACCAAATCTGGCTTGCATACACTCCACGATTTTTTCATAATTTTCTCCCACTACCGGGAAGCTTTCTACAAGTTGACGTGCCCTACTTCCTGATACTGTTGCCTGTAGTAAATATTCAATTTTGTCGCTATTATCTATGTCGGGATCTTCATGAACCTTTTTAAACTGCGACCAAAATCCCAACCAGTCTTTTATATTGCCATCGTAATGCTTGAACTCAATTCGCGGTAACTTAAATTTGCGCTTACCTTTAACAACTTCTTTCCGCACAAAATGTCCTGAATTATCACTGGGTTACGAAGGTCCCATCGTCTGCAACCCTTGGAGCTACCGACTGAAGCATCTTCGTACATCGCAAACGTAAATCGGTGAACCTTCTACCATAGGCATCACTGCTGTCCATTTCTACGATAAGTTGCTCCTCTGTAGCGTTTTCCATCAAGCCCTCGTATACCTGATTTTCACACACATGCAGCTCGTAAAATTTTGTTCTCAAACATTCCCACAAAATTTCTATGTCACTATGCGTAGATCCTTCAGCTTTTAACAAAATATCCAGTTCATTGGCCATTTTTGTAAAACTAGCGCGAAGCACTGTCCTCTGTTTCTTCTTGGCTTGCTGCTGTTTCAGATGCCATTGTAAACTCGAACAAATATTATTTTCTATGCACCGAACTGTCAGTCCTGTCACGGTCGCCAAAAATGTCGTGTCTCACCGTTGGAACACTACCCGTAGTTCCCGGACTAGATGGTTCATAAAATAGGGAATAATAACGATAAAATATCAATATCACTTTTATTCACCAGTGACAAATTTCGGTACACATATATACATAAAACAATATTGGTAACTATTTTTCAATAAAAACAAAATATCAACTATCCTTTTTTTTACAGACAAAATCGCACACTATTAATTAACCATGACATTTCTTTATTTTTGACAACAATATTTTTATATTTGACGTGAAGGTTAACACATAGATCCGACAATGACTGAATCACTCTGTATGCAGGGTGTCTGCGAAAGATTGGGAAATCTCGAAGCTGGAGATACTGGTGGAAAAAAAGTCGATTGAGCCAAATATGCATTATGCAAATGTTGCTGGTTTCAAAGATACAGAGCGTTCAATGTTGAATTGTATTTTGAAATTTCTCAATAATTTTGAAAACTGTTATAGTATAAACAAAAAAATTACCATTATTACGTTTTTTGAAATGACAAATAAGAATTTTTAACTAATTTTGGTGTTGCTTGTATAGGGTATCAGTTATGCCCTATTCCTTTGATACATAAGGGAAAATTTGTTTGCCTTTAAAATTACGGACATTGTGTATTGAAAATATAAAAGAACGTCCTTCGTTTCATAAAATAGTTACTCTTGTTCGTTTTCGATATTTTATTTATTTATTTATTTATTTATTTTTTGGTTATCGAGATATTTGCATATACATGAACGAACAAGAGTAACCTTTTTTATGAAACGAAGGATGTTCTTTCATATTTTCAATACACAATGTCCTTAATTCTAAAGGCAAAACAAATTTTCCTCTATTTATCAAAGGACTAGGTTAGTCTAAATTCAAAACGGACAGTGTCGAAGAAATAATTTTAAACACGTAATATACTTCGCTAATAGCGTCTGGGAGTAATACAAATGAATCCGATTACAAGTGACCAATATTGGCGATCCCTCTGACTTGCGCCAGAAAGGCCAAGGGCAGATGGAAAACGACAATTGACAAATAATTTCACTTCCCGATAGGTACTTTTTTTCCATGCTCATCAGTCACTCACTCAGGCAAGTGACAAATAGGCCAGTAGTTTGTTTATGTCCTTATATTTATTATTGTAATCTTTATATAAAAATAAACACAACTACAATCTGCTATCCACTGTAAGTAGTTATAGGTGTACGACTGTCCCTAGTGGTAAAATTCTAGAAGGATGACAAGCAAGTCGACATGAATGATTGTAAGTTCGTAAGTATATCAGGTGACTCTGCAAAATATCAGCTTTCCAACTAAAGTCTATTCCAAAATTCACGCAAGAAGTAATTTTGATAGAAAACAGAGGTTTTTAATTAAAAATTGTAAATTTTTTATTGATTCATGAAGTATACAGTATATATGAAACAGCATGTCGGGTACCTAAATGGCCTCCACGACTTTGATAGCAGATACACACTCTTTTGTTGAAATTGTCCATGACTTTTTACAAAAATGCGGATGAATTTCGTTGTTACAGCGCACAATTTCCTTCTTCAAGGCGTAGGTGGTCATGGGCTTGTTAGCATAAACTTTAGACCTCAAAAAAAAAACACAAAGAAACAAGTCTAACGGCGTTAATCGCATGATCTAGACGGTCAATTCTGATCACGAGATCGGAAAATTATACGGCCAGGTATTTGAATTGTTTCTCGGGCTGTATGGCATGTGGCAACGTCTTGTTTCAGCCACAAATCGTCTACATCCATATTTTGCAATTTAGGCATAAAAAAACTGGATTATTATGTCGTGATAGCGAGCACCATTAACTGTCGATTCAGAGAATTCTCTTCGCTCTGCGTGGTCAGCAGACTTTAGCTCTTAAGTCTAATGAACTTTGTAAGCATGAAGATGCAAATCTTACACTCTCAGCAACGAGCGAACTGCTTCGATGTTTTGTGTTGAACGACTTGTTGAAGGACGGTCAGAGTGTTTAAGAACGCTAATTGATCCAGTCTCTCTGATTTTTTAAATTAATCTCTTCACTGCTGATGAAGTTATATCAGTAGTCCGACCATATTTTTTTACAAAAACTGCAGCTACAGGCTGCTGAAGCATTATTTTTAAAATATTGCTCAACAATGAAAACGCATTGTTCTTTCGTGTAGCGTTCCATTTTTAATAACCCTGAACTGTTTTTTTTTTCGTTGGCATCATTTTACTGCACAAATGGCGCAAAATTTAAAATCTTGCGTGAATTTTGGGACACCTGATATATCGTAGTGAAAATTATAATAAGAAAACTGATTTGGGAAGTATCATTTTAACATCATGTATCGTAAAAGCTGAAGCAGTTAGAACAAAACAAATTTAAATTTTCATCTCATTTTTACTTTCTTAAAATTCTGTTAAAGTTATGGCACTAAGTTTATGGACATCTTGTACAATCAACTATTTTGTGTCTTTTTGATAAAACTTATAATTTTCACTTAGAAAAAGACCAAGTCATGTGACATATTTATCAATCAGTAAAATATCTATAAAGCATTATACGTACCCAAAATCGCTTGTTCCTAAAAATGGTCGATTTATTACTCCCATCACAGGACAACCAGTTTCTTTATCAAATACTCCAATTAAAATTGTCACACATTTTAAACCATTGCGATAAATATTTTCAATCTTCTCTCCTTCACTCCCATTAATATATTCAGCAGTACAATCTGAAATTGATATTCATAATATTTCCATAAATATACTGAAACGTATTAAAATTTCTTAGAGAAAATGAAAGTAGGTAGGTTCGTAATTCGTAGTTAAAAAACGAATATAAAAATGTTTTATTATAAATTAAAAAACAGCAATAACAAGAACAAAATTTGCAGAAACAAAATATTAAAAAATATATGGTTTCAGCTAGATCTAGATCTTATTAATTATATAGGTCGATGTGGTCTTTTACACAACTTGAAGTAAAAATTTAATATAAAAAAGTGCATAAACTCTTAAATAAAATGAATTAACTTTAATTTTTAACTTAATTATGTTCTGAAATCTAACTACACAATACCATTGTCATTTATTACAGTAATATTATGCCCACTTATGAAATTAAAATTTTTAGAGTAGAAAAAAAATTAGTACTATGATAAAATTTCACTGGTTATAAAATAACAGCGGACCAATTCAATTCAACAAAAGAAATATTGCATGTCCTGGCAAAGATGGGATTTTTTAATTAAAAGTAGGCACCATGTATATGAGAACCTACAAAAGAAAATGGAAAGTAATGAATACCAAAAAATAGGCTAATGGAACACATACTACAAATTGCCAAACCTCCGAAACTCTGGATCATTAAAAAATTACGAGGAAATGAAGATCTCAGCACTCACTAAGGAAACGCAACCATCGTATGAGACTTAACAGTAGTCAAAGTGGAGCACCTGCTACAAGATCGAAATATAAAAAAAAAATAATTCGATTAAGAAACTTCAAAAGAAATTGGCGTCTGAATTCGTGCCTCTAGCATTCCCAAGGAATTATATTTATCTGCGATACATGTCACATAAAATTGAAGTACTAGAAAGATGGAATACAGGGTCAAAAATGCTGGAGATTTTATCAACATGATTGATCTAGACATTCGCTTGGCCATACTTGTAGAGTTGGAACAAAATTATACTCTTTACAGATCATTAAAACTGCACTCTTCCATTCCTAGAAGTACATGTCAGAGGAAATCAGATGACAACCTATAGTACATTACTCAGATAAACTAAATCTTATCACTTTATCTTATGTTAGATGAACTGATTTTTATCATCATCAGAATATCTGACAAAATCAGATAGAATATCTTGCAAAAACCTCTCACTAGAATTTACAGACAAGAGAGAATTTAAGGAAACATAATAATAATACTATTTATAACACCTAAAGGAAGACAGCGGGAACCTTTTACTCCAAGGCCCGGTGCATACAGAAAATACATTAGTACGCAGTTAAAAGACACTAGTATCAACTAAAGAATAAAAATGCAGAGTTCAGAAGTGGCGGAGCATAAGGCAGATAAGAGCATTCACAATGGATTTAAGCAATATCAAAATTTTTGTAAGAGAACATTTTAGCCAAGACTCCAGAGATAAACCATAAATATTATTCAACCAAGTAAATGAAATGATTATAGAAAAAATTTGGACACATTTGGACAAAGATTTAGAAATCAATTTTCCATGCAGATACCTTCACACTACCATGCTCCTAAAACAACTGTTTAGTTTTTTTTCATTGGATTGGGTACATTTTGTTTTATCTTTGAGTATTAAGTAATTTTGTAAACTGTGTTCTTTCGATAAACAGAATAACAATTTAATGTTTTAACCATTTTATTTTAATTAATTTGATAAAACTAAAAAGTTAGAAACAATACTTTTCAAGACTTTGAAATGCAAAATAATATTCTTATACAAGATGTTGCAATATTCCACTAAAAATATTATGCAGAAAATTCTCTGATAAAAAAATAAGCAAAAAAGCTGAAATAAACGTAGTGTTAATTCTGTTTTTAAACCACTAGTTAACATGAAACTATCACTTTATTCTGTATATTTTTACACGGGAATGAATTATATATCTCAAAATTAATAAAACTGTCAATACAACATATGTCATGTGCTTGAGTTTTACTATCTAGTTCCATTGGGAGATCACACGATGAATATTCAATATATTTAGCTCAACACAGCCAGAAAATGCAATAAAATAAAATTAAACGTGTGTGCCGACACGTAGTCTCTTTGTTTTTGAGATACGTAGTGACAAAGTCTTTTATTATTTTTTAGTTATTCCTGTTTGTTTTACACATTTATTGGTAGATGGACTTTCTTCTATATTTTTGGTCAGAGCATTATGGCGACGCAATATTGTAATATTTTATACACTTTCAAGTGGGGTATATTGCAGATTGCAGATCTACATCTGAAATATATAGAGACTGGCGCTCTACAGCGTGTCCGGAAAGTTCGTGTCAACAGTGAAGGGATATACAGGGCAGGTCAAAACAGTTGTAGTACTTCATAAAAAAAAAATCCTATCAGGCTTCGTTGTGGAGTTATTCGCCTTCAAAGAAAGAAATTTGAAAAACAAATTCCAATTATAACTTCTAAGTCGTTACCATGAGAACAATGAATTTTGGGCAATTAAAGTAACTCATGGTAATGTTCATTTAAGTTTAAATTGATATTCAATATGCCTGGATTATACAGAAGCAGACAAAATTATCCATTTAAATTTATACATCTTTGACAGCGTTGCCAAATTTAGCATTTTGTTCCATTTTTGTGCAAAATCTGTTTAAAAATAATGTTACATGTGTTAATCACCGGGAATCGAAATTGTCAATATTTTCTACCGTAGGGGGTTTTGAAGAACAAAAACGCGTTTGGCGTTATTTGCATTGGCAGTTCAGTTATTTACTTTTTGCGATTTATTATTTTCACAGAAATTTATTATTTTTAGCAAATTATTATTTGACAAGTTAAAAAAAAAATAGTTGAAATGATTAAATAGTAATACATTAAACTGTAAAGATAATTGAAAACCACACTATTAATAAAACTTATTTTTATCTCAATGGTAATTTTTATAGCAAATGCTCAAAAATATTTTCATTTTGCTGAATACATTTATCAGCTCGACGTCGAATTGCCCGCGAAGACTTCAAAACTTCAAAATTCTGATTGAATCCTCTGTTGTAATTCTTCCAAAGGATTTATTTCTGTAGCGTAAACTACAGCCTTCATCCTACCCGACAGAAAGTAATCTAGAGGATTTAGGTCTAGAGATCGAGGTGGCCATGGAATAGGGCTTCTGCATTCAGACAAAGAGGAAACTGAATTGGTCCAAGTAGCTGGACCCCTAAAATTCCTGTCCACACATTTATTGCAAATCTATTTTGAAAATTTGTGCGCCGTATTGCCCGTGGATTTTCGTCTGACCAGAAATGGATATTATGAATATCTGCTAGCTCTACATTCATAAAATGTTGCATTTTCGACTGATAACAGTTCGCAAAAAGTAAATAACTGAACTGTCAACGCAAATGAGGTTAAACGCATTTTTGTTATTGAAGACGTTACAAAAATATTGACAATTTCGATTCTCGGTGTAACATTATTTTTAAACGGATTTTACACAAAAATGGAACAATCTACCAATCTGAACTAAGAATACCTGTTCTTACTAAAAACTCGTACTTTTCAGTCAAAACAAGTAAAAGCATAAAAAACTTATAGTAAACTTTACCCCCCTCCCCCCAGTGTTAGAAGTGTTTCTAACTTAAAAGTACTACAAATGGTACATACTTCAATAGGGTTAATGAAGTAGGAAATACCATTAAAAGCAAACTAAATAATACTTATCCGACAGTCGAATTTGATCTATAATCCTTTATGTATTGGTAAGCCGAAGGTTAGATATTTTTTCGGATAGCTAGTTAGAATGAAAGACCTATAAAAAACTGAGGATGTACGTAAAAGAGTATTGGTACCTAGGTACTCTGTGCCAGATTATGCGCATTTAAGTTGGTCCACAAATCATTTGTGCCTAAGAGAGGATAGAATTGTTTAATTTGTGACAGCCAATTATCTAGAGTCAATATTTAATAACTGCACTCGCCGCATAAAACAGATAAGGATATCGTTTTTTATACCTAGTAATTTACATAGCTAATTAAAATAAGTTTTCAGTACAATATAAGAAAGACCTACAACCCCAGCCTCAAGTAGTACCGTATAATCAGCAGTATTCTTTGGGAGAAGAAGCAGTCTTTTAAAAAAGCCCACCTGGATCCTTTCAAGTACCTACTTATATCAATATAAGAACACTCTACACAGAAACACAATTAGCGAGTTAATGATTATACTTACTGTTGTATAACTGCATGCGGGATTTCCAGGAATACATTTTAGACCGAGACGTAATGGTAAAATTAATAATAATAGAGATATGTCCTACGATTGTGTCCTGAATAGGAGAACTTGTTTATATTTTCTATGATAAAATCTTGCTAAACAAAAGATATTAATTAAAATCCATTGAATTTAGAACGGGATTTCTGGGGCGCGGGATAAAATTTTACTTCTGAATCTTAATATCCTACGTATTATAATATTAGAATACTGAATGTTTCCCAAAATGGCACAATTTCTGTAAAAATACCAAGGAAACAAGTACTAGTTCAAATATTATAATAGTAAGCAGGATTTCATATTTCCAAATAACTTTAACACAATATATCTAGGTACCATCAAATAAGGGAATACAAAAATTTCAATAAATTTCTATCAATTTTGTCATTTGTTAGGGTGTTTCTGATATATTACGAGCATCATAAGTATGTGTAAGCTACCTGAATGATACGAAATAAAGTACTAAATGTTTTTTTTTACAAAGTAATTGACACTTTATATTTACAACCTGGAATTACTAACAATATTTCTCAGTAGTATTTTTCAATATTTCAAAGGATTTACTTTGCTTGGGATCACTCTTAAAATTTTCAAAATATTTTACTCCATGTACATAAAATCAAGAAAATAGTAACCTTCTTAAGACTTTAAGGACAAACAAGAATTTTTCAAAGAATGACATTTTCTCAAGTTTACAAACAAAATAATTTTCTCTCCCCTCTCCTCTTCAGGACCTAGTCGTGGAACGCAATGTATGTCATCGAGAAAAATAATACCTATAGGGTCTATCCATATTCCCAGTTTTTCTAATACTATGTGAAATTTTTCAGTCAGATTAGTTTTAATATCTTCGATATGTATTTCCTTATGTACCTCTGCGGCGAGTAAAGTAGCGGCAATGTGATCTCCATTCAATACAGTTTCCAGTAAATTGGATGTTTCTTCTTCTGTATTCTTAATTTCCACACAAATTTTTTCTCCTAATTTATTTTCAAATGTGTTGTTTTCTTCACCTAAGATGTCAGATAATTCCTGAAACTGCGTTGTACATATTATTAATTATTATCAACATTTTAAAAGTTAAAGATAAAGACAGTAGTCGTCATATGCGAATATATTTCAAAATCTTTTCCTCAATAAGATACGAGGTTTGATCAAAAAGTAACGGGAATTTTCAAATTGCGCGTATTGTATCTTGTACATCGAGTTGATTCTTTTTTTGTGTATTGGTTGCATTGTCAGTGACTACCTGTCAATTTTTAGGCAATTGTTACACTTAGTTTATGTTTATCGAGCGAATGGGTAAGACTTACTTATATTTTGTGTGGCGAAATGTCGGATCAATGAGTTTGTCTGATATTTTGTGTTAAAAACAGAAATAAGTGCAGCGAACCATTTTAAATGTTAAAGAAGGCCTTTAGCAACGATACTATCTCACAGCCACGAGTTTATCAATGGTATAAATGTTTACAAGAAGGTCAAGAAGACATCGAAGATGAGGCGAGATCTGGTCAAATGTGAAAGTCCTTCTAACCGTTTTCTTCGACTACAGTGAACTAGTTCAGGACAAATTTTTATTGTCTGGTTGTACAGTTAACAAGGAGTACTACCCACAATTTACGTGAGGCAATCAGGAGAAAACGGCAATAACACAAGAGACAAATGGAAAGAAGACTAATTTATATAATCATCTATGTTACAAGTTTTATTACAGCATCTTCAGTATTCTAAAATTATGGTTTGTTGTGATAATTTTAAATTAATAATTATAATAAACGTTGACGATTGTATGCATTGGTCTTCTTTCCACAAGACTAACCTAAAACTAACAATCCTTAATTAAAAAATAATGCTCCATCATAACGATACCATATATGTAGATGTGGGTGAGATACAATCTACAAAGTAGGTATGTCACATTGCCTACTAGCATAAAGTATTGCTTTGTATCTATTGATAAAGAGCAACACAGATACATTTACAATTCGAATATGACATTCGTCCCTATTATCACGTAGATGCGTATGTGTATATCCATTTCTTGGATTATACACCCCTACGTGATAAGAGGGACGATATGTTAGGTTATGTCTCACCCACACTCACATGTCGGAAAATAGACACCCAAATAGATAAATATTCCTCGGTCGCCTCACCTACGGTATGCTGATGAGAACAAAAAAAAACCCTTATTCGGATTAGGCATAGAAGAAAATTATTCAACATGCAATACAAATAATAATAATTTCTTTTTGCAGCTAAATTTTTCATATTAATGTAACAAAGATAAAAAAGGAAAAAATAATAATTAAATGTTTTTAAAACTAGATATGTGGATAAGGTGAGTTTTTAAGGGGGCACGTATGTTTTTAATACCAAATTTTCAACTATCTAATATAGTATATATAGTACAGTATATTGGAAATAGTTTCAGTCATATTTGATTTAACCAAATTGGGCGTCAACTTTAAAATTTAACTCATTATTTTTTTTTACATTGTATAATAATATTCTAGATTTATTAACTTTAAATAATTTTCTATATGAAACCATACCTCAAAACAACTTAGCTATGTAAAAAAGACTTTTTACTCTAATTTATCAGCTTCAAAAAATATCAAATATGAACGAATGAATGTTTTCATAGTAATATGTTACTACACTGATTGTCAGTATGTCAGAAGTCAATAGCAATTATTTTGTTCAAAACAAAATTTAAGTTATTTTTAATATTAGAGTTACATTAAAAAATTGCTTAAAATCGATAAGTATGCCAAATATGCCAAAAATTCTGTTGAAAGTTAAGACCATGTTCAGTGAACAGAAAACAATATAAAAATATTTCAGCTGCTGTTCAGATATGGGGTAATTAATTCAATATTAACAATATTTAAAAATCAATCTGTAAATAATTATCATACCTTGAAAACGTATTTATAAAATTGTAATATAATTTCTTTAATAAAAAGTAATATTGCTTGGTAGTTGTTTTAATTTTTCGTTTTCCTTACAAAGATATAACAGACTCCAAAAGTTGCCAATTTTTTATTTAAGTTATGTGCAATAATATGACTGTTCAAGTTTTATGAACCATTTTTTATCAATAGGCCTTACATTATACATACCTATTGAAAATTGCTTCACTTGTTTAAGTTAAATATGTTTAGGTACGTACTTGATTTTTAATATCGTGTTTTACCATTTCTTGTATTAGAACATCTGCTAAAGTTTTAAAATCATCCACGAACCTGGGATTTGCTTCGTCGTTCTTCTTTTTCTGTATCAACAAGCTAAACAAATGTTCATTTTGTCGACATGCTCTTGCTATATTTGCCGCTTTTTCAGACACAATTATTAAAGCTTTCAACAAATCCATCATCTAAGCAGGTTGTATAGCATTTATTAAAATACAAATGTTTTATTTTACTGCTTACCTCATTTGTTGATAAACCACTAACACATCCGTTGGTTAATATTCTAATCACTGGAAGTAATTACGAGTAGTCTATTTATAAACATGTTTCAAAGTTAATATTGTTGCCTATCCTGTATTTAAATTTAGGAGAGAAACAAGACATTACGCACGTATATTAAATAACAGGGATATTGATTTTTCTTAGTCCAAGCATCTGCGCCTTTAGTGTTCCTAGATGTTTTAAATCACCCCATTTGATGTGTTCAGTTCCAGTGTATTTAAAAATAGCTGAAAGTACAGTTATTTTAAGATGCATAATCTGATTTTATATTTACAAATTAGATAGAATAATACCTTTGACTAGTGTATATAGTCAGGGGTTATACTAACAACACATGGCTGACTACAATTACGTTAATTTACATAATAATCGTATGATGTATTACAACTAATTGCTTTAGCAACAAATAAGTGATTACAAAATTACCGTTTAAGGGGGAGAATGAGATTCAAAATTTGCCTCATTGAGACAAATAAACATTGCAAACAATTAATACTATAAATTTATTATAACAAAAATTAGAGTAACACGGCTCTTCCATTATTTACGACTTACACGTTGTTTCAATTGCTCCATAGTTTTACTTTCTACATCAGTCATATCGCTTACATGTATTTAAACATATACTTCCATGACCTGCTGCAGTTTTTTAGAAGTAGTATTAGGGAAAATCTTTTTATTTTTATTTTTAATTAATAGCTTGATTACTTAGTCATAGTTACCATCACTTACAACTCTTATATACCACATTTCATCTATTTATAGTGCATCATATTTGTATGCAGTTTTAAAATGGTGTCAGTTTCAGTTTAAAAACTCTAGAAAGCTTTGAAAATGAAAATTTCATCAATTACTAACCCTGCTGATTATTACTAGTAAATAGTGAGTTTACATATAAATTATTTTCACAATTTTAGCCAGAGAGAAAAACTTTAGTAGGACTCTAAACAGGCACTGTTATTTGCTAATGGTAATAACCAATGTCAGTAATTGACTTAAACTGAAATTAAACTATTTCCCCCAAAACTCCATGGCCTTCTAAAATAAATCGCAAAAAGCCATGGATCACATAATTCACTGAGCAAGTGCATATTAGAAATGGCTCCAATTCGCCCCATATATAAAAAAATATTTTAGAGAGATGTCCTGATGCCAAACTTTTAACCATATATTTATTTCATGAAAAGTAACAACTTTTGTTTATTTTTTTTAAATCTTACATGTTTATCCAGTATGTTTTACTCATTAAAATAAAATAAAGGGACGCTAGAAATACGACGAGGTATTAACAGTATGCATTACTTATGTCAGGTTTTGCAAACACTGAATATGGTAATCTGATGTTAGTTTACAGTGAAGCCCAATATGGATATTTTCCCGAATCGTCTCATACCAAATAGATGCACATTTATTCATGTTGTTCAGGAACTTCGGGATCGCGGATCTTGAATTTCGTATTCGGAATTGACAACGACTTAATCGTACTGTGAACAATGAAGATGCAGAAATATTGCAAATAATCCTGGAACTCGTAGACTGACTTTATGTATCAGAAAGTTCATCTCGAGGGTGTACAACAGTTGCTCACATTTCCAGGAACTTACCTCGCCTCCGATGGGGACCTAACATCGTCACCCCCAAGCGTCCCGTCCGTTGAAGTTAGCGTGATGAGGGAGACGTCCGAACATCCCATTTGCCCCGGTTACCGACCACACGAGGGTATCGATAAAAATGTCTATTAAATCTAATCTAATTAAATGTCTGTTATTCCCGTATTAGAAGCAATTTCCGAGGGAATAATGGAATTAAACGACAGGGGATTGTATACTTATATAATATTTTTTTTTAAAGTCTTTTGAGGGACTTTATTCATATATCCTAAACATTAATTTATGCAAAATTAATCAAATCTGTTATTCGATCTTATCTCGACCAGCGAAAACTGTTTCTTTCCTATAATGGTTCCAAAAGTAGATTTTTAACCTCATTCTAGGTCGTCCATGCATTAAAATTGGGACATCTTCTATTTATTTTTGTATACCCTTAAATTTACACAGTAATTATTTTTTTTTTTCTATGCTGACGATTTAAAAGTATTATTAATTACACTTCATTATACAAGAACTTATTAATATTATTAAAAAGTGGTACCTATGTGAAAAACCTGCTGCCTATAAATTTTAATAAATGCAAAAATTGAACATTTACGATAACAAATTATGTTGTGCAGTAAATTAATATACAGGGTGTTAATGAACTTATGTCAAACATTTTTGCCACATGTCCGGTATAATAAAAGGAAAATACACGGATTTGTGTTGAGTAAAAAGTAGATATAATAGGCGGTTTCTGGACCAGGAAGTGACGTGGCAAGGTCACCTGGGGTCAAGGGCACCCCAAGGTCATGTCAAGGTCACATGAGGTCAAGGTCGCCTAGGGCCAAGGTCATCTGGGGTCAAGGTCACCTGAGGTCAAGGTCGCCTAGGGTCAAGGTCACCTCGGGTCAAGGTCACCACATGGTCAGTGTTTATCGAGTTCGGCGCGCTCCTTCAGCGGCTTCTTGTGGGCATTGTCGTTGTGCAAGAGATGCGTGGGTGTTGGCATGCAAGAAGTGTCATAGCGGCATGGAAGTGACGTCATACAAGACGTATCATGGCGGCATGGAAGTATCGTCATACAAGAAGTATCATGGCGGCATGGAAGTATCGTCATACAAGAAGTATCATGGCGGCATGGAAGTGACGTCACATGGCCAGTTGGTGGTAAACTTAAAATTCAATCACGATAAGGGCAGGTCAATGACCTCCAAACAGCATTGCGTCATTCTTACCTGGTATTGCAGCATTCGAGGTCAAGTTTCTACAAGTTCAGACTTGTATTTTAGCATAAACTGTAACCTGATATATTATTTCCTTTAATACTGCCACGCTAGCATAAACTTTAACATTGGGTCATTCTTATCTGGTATTGCAGCATTCGAGATCAAGTTTCTACAAGTTCAGACCTGTTTTTAGCATAAACTGTAACCTAATATACCTATCCCTTAATACTGCCACACTAGCATAAACTTTAACATTGCGTCATTCTTATCTGGTATTGCAGCATTCGAGAACAAGTTTCTACAAGTTCAGACCTGTTTTTTAGCATAAACTGTANTGCTGAAATACATGTATTTTATCGCGGCGAGTACTTACAAAAAAATTACATTTAATAGCCGTATTTCCAAGTTTTCTTTTGAAAATGGCGCAATTATTTAGCAATCGCAAATATCATAATATGCTCATAATTTATGGCGAAGCAAACAAAAATGTCCACAGAGCTTGGCAAGTGTACCGAGCAAGATATCCTGAACGATGTGCCCCCGCACCGCGAACATTTGTTGCTGTAGCGCAAAGAGTTTTGGAGACCGGTGAAGTACAACCGCGTCGAGGTCGCGACGGTGGCCCAGGGCGACCACTAAGAATCTTAAATGTCGAGGAAATGATTGTAGATCTCGTCTCATCGCAGCACTAGAAATATCGCACAGCAAGTAAATATTTCGCATTCTGTTGTGTGGCGGACATTACGAGAAGCTCAGTTGAACCCATTTCATAATCAACGTGTTCAAGAGCTTACTCCTGAGGATTTTCCAATACGTCGAGGTTTTTGCGAATGGATTCAAGGAACATGCAAGAAATCCTCAATTTATAGCGCAAATACTTGATACAGATGAAGCATGTTTCAGTCAAAATGGTGTAAGTAACATCCACAACATTCATTAATGGACTATCGTTAATGACCCTTTAATAGGACGTTTTGATTTGCCTAGACGCTTAGACGCTGCGTCATACCTAAATTTTTTGCAAAATTGCTTGCCGGAATTATTAGAAGATGTGCCATTAAATGTTCGGCCAAATATGTGGTTACTGCATGACGGAGCCCACGCTCACTTTTTCCGGAGAGTGCGCGACTTCCTAAACGTTACTTTTCCCGATCACTGGATAGGGCGCGGTAGCCTAGTTAGATGCCTCCCCCTGGCCCCCGGATCTCACCCCTTTAGACCTCTTTGTGGGAATATGTGAAAAGTGTTGTGTATTCCACGGAAGTTCGCGACATCGACCAACTGCGACATCGTATTGCCGACGCTTGTAATACGATTCGAGAGGACGTGGCAATGTTGCTATGCGTGCGAGCGAATTGGATACGTCGCGCTGAAGCTTGTGTGCAAGCAAATTGTGGGTACATCGAACATCTATGAAAATCAGTAGTTCTCAAAAGGTGGCTCCTTGCAATGTTGAGGTAAGTCACATATTAAAATTACATTTTACAGTAGATATAATAGGCGGTTTCTGGACCAGGAAGTGACGTGGCAAGGTCACCTGGGGTCAAGGTCACCCCAAGGTCATGTCAAGGCCACATGAGGTCAAGGTCGCCTAGGGTCAAGGTCATCTGGGGTCAAGGTCACCTGAAGTCAAGGTCGACTAGGGTCAAGGTCACCTCGGGTCAAGGTCACCACATGGTCAGTGTTCATCGAGTTCGGCGCGCTCCTTCAGCGGCTTCTTGTGGGCATTGTCGTTGTGCAAGAGATGCGTGGGTGTTGGCATGCAAGAAGTGTCATAGCGGCATGGAAGTGACGTCATACAAGACGTATCATGGCGGCATGGAAGTATCGTCATACAAGAAGTGTCATGGCGGCATGGAAGTGACGTCACATGGCCAGTTGGTGGTAAATTTAAAATTCAATCACAATAAGGGGAGGTCAATGACCTCCAAACAGCATTGCGTCATTCTTATCTGGTATTGCAGCATTCGAGATCAAGTTTCTACAAGTTCAGACCTGTTTTTTAGCATAAACTGTAACCTGATATATTATTTCCTTTAATACTGCCACGCTAGCATAAACTTTAACCTGATATATTATTTCCTTTAACAGCATTGCGTCATTTTTATCTGGTATTGTATATCATTCGAGGCCAATGACCTCCAAACACCATTGCGTCATTCTTATCCGTTATTGCATCATTCTAGACCAAGGTCACGTTAGGGTCATCGACCTCTGGTCGTCTGGAGTCAGGGTCAAGTCAAGGCCATGACCTCTGGTCGTCTGGGGTAGAGGCCACGTCAATGTCATGTCAAGGTCATGACCGCTGGT